CGTATTCTTGGTCGATAGAGAATTCACATTGTTTGAAAGGAGAATTCGAAGGAATCGCCACAGAATTTCTTAAAGTTCGTGGAATATCGAGAGCAGACAGTTTATTGTCCATTTTTGTCCTCGTTAATCGCATTTTTCCGATTCTATCTACCGAACATGTCGCGTTTCGCGACTGCCGCTTCTAACAGAGAGAACCACAGTGAAATTATAATTGTTTCCTCTTTGCTTAATAAACTTTAGTTTATTCGAAATAAGTTTGCGAAGTTTAGTTTACTAAAAAGAGGCTGCTAAAAAATTTCGTAGGCTAACACTTTGCGTGATTCTGCAGCTGCGGTGCAGTCTATTTACCTAAAAGGATCAATCGCAGTTGTTCCCAGTTTTATTACACGCGTTTTACGTAAAACACTTTCCTCGCTTTGCTTCCAAAGGTCGCGGCTTAACCTTTCGTCTACAATAACATTTCGCCTAGAAGCCCGAGCAAATAGAAGGCTCTCGAGGCCATTTTCGAAACATTGACGTAAAATAAGACTTTCGCGTCGGCAAGAATTCGCCTTAGACGTCGAAAGAAATCGGCGAATATGTTTGGACGCGGGCGATCTGTGTCGGCCTGACAGTCATACGTCTCGTATTTGTACGAGATTGCATAAAAGAATCGTGCGGCGGCGTGCTAAGACCAAACGAACTAAACTCACGGCTACGCGCAACACGGGTCGCCGCGCCGCTGTTTCTACTTCCAAATACGGGACCAGGTGCGAGAGACTGGCTACGCAACTCCTTCGACGAAAGTATTTTTATTTTCGTCCGTGCGTGCTACGGCGAAGAAACCCGTCCCCGCTCGACGATCCATCCGAGAGGAGCCGACGCGGAGCCAAAGAACCTATCCACTTCGAAACTGGCCGCGCCGCCGCAGTCTCGCCGATTAATCTCGCGACCCGCGTTCTTTCTCTCGTTCCGATCCTCGCCGATCGAAATTGGCGCCGTTGATAAGAAATATGACGAAATCGAGGCTGCCGCGCGCGCGTTGCATTTCTTTCGGCAACTGCGCTTGTTTACCTAACTTGGAAAAATTGAAATGACCTCGGCGTCGCTCGAAACAGGATAGAAATCGACTGGAATATCTAGGTCGAGTCGATAACTCAACCGCTATGAAACCGAATTTATCGTATTCCTACGACGAAACTTTGTCTTGTCTTGGCTTCCTGTATCTTTGGAATTCGTTCGATTGGCTCCAACGAGAAAGCGGTGTAACAAACTTTCTAATAAACAAGAATTGAAAGATGGTTAATCTGTTCAAAAACATGTGAAGGAATTTACCTTGTTATCGTTAATAGACTATGACTAAGAAACAATTCGGAGAAATAGGATCGTGTATAAAGCAAATAACAATGTACATACATTTGACACGTTCCCTGTTAAATGTACAAATATTTTACGTAAATCTTTCATACAGTTCAAAATATTTTTCAGTTTTTTTTTCAAATTTTATTTTTTTTTTTATTTTTATACATGTATATAAATGTATAAATTTTTATATCTTTGTGCTTTTTCCATCAAGAATGGAGAACGTTAACACGTGATATTAGTTTCAGAAGAAAATCTGGCAACGTGGGATTCTCGTTGGTAAGAGCTTTGATTAAGAAGGGAATTGTGGAACGCTTACGTTCAAATGATTCTTTCTGGATGTGATGGAGGAGTCCTGCGAGGAGCCTCTCGAGTAATGCCTGGAGAACACTTCCGCGAGCCTGGACCTGCCCGAGGTAGTTGCGTTCGACTTGGATTTGTTCTGCGGCGATTCATCGCCGCTCTTTGCCAAATTTGGGTTGCTGCTCTTGCGCTCCGGGAAAACTAAATGCTCGATGTTTGGCGTGTATCCAGGATCGCTTCGAACGATATCCTGCAGGGTGACGCGGCCGCCAGTGCTCGGCCCCCCATTGCTGAAACATTCCGCAAAAAACCGTTTCCTCTTTCCTGCGATTTTCCCGGTCGCGGTACCATCGTATTCGCGCAGATTTTGCCTATTTGCAAGTCAGAAAAAAAAGAAAAAAATAAAGAAAAAGAACACCCAGGTACTCGTTCGTACCCGGTAAGAGCGTGAATCGTAAAATTTTAATATTTATAGAGGGTACGAGGCTGGTTATTCTAGCCAGAGGAAGAAGAAGCCTCGTCGTCTCCGGGGTGTTGAGATTCTTCTCGCGTGAAAGGAATTTCGTCAAGGGACGCTGGAGATAGGCCGGGCATGAGCGTGAAAAAGTAGAAACAACGCGGAGGGAACAAAAGAGAGGGAGAAACAAAGAAGGGGCAGAAGGGGCGGATCAGTGAAATGCACGATGAATGCAATGTCGCGCACGTCGACACGCGTAATGTCGGCTTAAAAGGGTTAATTATGCAAGCCCACTGAAAGCCACGGATAGTTTACTGTCCCCTGGTATTTTTGTCCGAGATTTCCTCTTCTCCGCTCCTCTTCTCGTTATACGTTAAAAACGATTTAAAAAAAAGAGAAAACGAGAAAAAGAGAGAGAGAGAGAGAGAGAGAGAGTAGGAAGGAAACGGTCGGATGGTAATAAAAATGTCGACAGCAGACCGACCCGCGATCTATTGTAGTCGAGGCAGTAATGAAGACGAATATATGAACGAGACGAGAGAGAGAGAAAAAAAAAAAAGAAATTCGATACATAGAAACCGTTTCTTTCCAGGACTGTCACTGTCAACAATTTCTCTTATCCTCTGATGTTTTCAGAATAATCAAAAAAATATCAAAGACAATAACACAATATTAGAGAAGTTAATTTTCAACTTCGTTTACGATTAAATCAGTGTTTTACTTAAAGTCATTAAAATTCCGATTAAAGTCATTAATTTGTACGATTCAGCCTTCCAGCCGCGTATTAAAAATCGCGGGACGTTTGTACGTTTGACGAGCAATTACGTGCTGCTATAATTACAACATTTTTGCAAGCAAACCTGGGTCCAAAACCGTGCGACTGCCGCTGGCCACGTCTTTTCCCGCTGCCACGGCCAGGCTTGATGTTTGTCACCTCGGCTAATTGCAGCAAGCGGTTGCGATGCTGCCGTAACAGCGGGTCCTCCCTACGATTCATTTTAACCGGTGCAAGTGGAATCCTGTCGTTCCAGCATCCTGCAATTAGAACAAAGAAAAATCTATAATGTCCCGCTCGCAAAAGAAAAAAAAAAAAAAATCCGAAACGTGAAAACGCTACCTACATCGTACTGAACGTTTGATCCTGATTCTCGGGATCAAAAACTTTGTTAAAAAAAACATCGGAAAATCGTGTGGAACGTGGCGTGAAGAGAAGCAACCGAAACAATGCATTGATCTAGTCTGATCAAAAGATAATGAACTCCGTTGCCAAATGTCTCGAATTTTCTGAATCTACTTAAGGAATCCCGAAGGATTCCTTTTTAGGAACGTCACGTTAACTATACAAAACTACAGTTCTTCAAATCCTATTTGTATCATCTTTCAGCAGAACAGAGAAAGATGGTATGCAAATATATGAAATTCGTTAAATGTTTCAAGTTTTTGTTGAAACGCTGCATTCATTTTCGCATATAAAGAATTTCGGACTATTTTTCTTTATTGTTACGAAAGAGAGTCGGGTTTTTTTAAATTTGATGCGAAACAGAAGCGAAGGAAAATAAACTTGTTTACTCAGTTAACAACAATTAACATTCGGCGACGCCATAGTTGCAGAGTTGTTGAAACATTCGGAATAATCAAGTGAACTGCAACGACGAGTAGGTATTAAAGGTATTACAGGCAGGAAATAATTTTCAATAAAGAGCGATTCTTAAACCGCCAGACCCTCTGCAGTATTTACTCTCTAGAAAGGCACTGGATCGTAATTATCGGCCTGTAAATTCTTCTCTCCGGACCTGTGTCGGATCAGGGAGGGAATTTACTACTGACACCGGCATCCGTCATGCTTTATTCCTCTTTGAAGCAGAACTAGTGAAAAAGTCTTGGCAAATAGGACCGAAAATGTGTGTGTGTGTGTATTTTTTTCTTTTTCTGCCTCACCGTTAAAAACTTACGGCATTGTTTCAGTACTGTATCGTCTCTGTAAACGTTCCTTTTTGTCCTCTCAGTTGAAACGATTTTCCATTCAATACAAAGAGCTATGAATCTTTTTTTATTCCTATTTGAAAACCTCCCTGAACATTCCATTCAATAAAACTATCGATTGGTTAATTAGTTTATGTACTGTGTACCGTTGAAAATTATTGCCAGTTTTCTTTTTTTTTTTTTTTTCCTGCAAACGAAAGACTTTCGCTAGATACTATAATCGATTCCTATTATCGGTGTTCAGTTTAAGGAAAGCAATGAGAAAGTACGTTTGCTTCTTTTTCAACGTCAAAAAACTAACTCCGATATAGTTTAATAATAATGAGCCTATAACGTCAGATATCGATGAAACTTTTTTATATTCAGCCATTTTAACGAAACAGTTCACTTAACTATGAAAATAACGTGCCGATGAAATATGCGATATAAGTTGGAAACAATCTTTTTTTTTTTTTTGTGAAAATTCGATTAACGGGAGTTGCCGTAAATGGCGCTAAATGGAAGAAAAATATTCCATGAATTATGAAATTACTATATATGTATTCATCGAGGATATAATTAAACTTCAATATGTACGCCATATTTCATTTGACGTAACCGTGAGTGTGTTGTTCTAGAATTTTTGCTAACGTACCGTGAAATTTAAAGCAAAGCGCTTATTTAACAGGTCAATTAAATCGAAATTGAGTTTCAGGTTTAATCGAGACGCTAAATTTTTAAACATTCATAGTGCGCAAAAATTGAATAGGTATTTAACTTTCTGCGGCCGCTGGAAATACCGCAGCGTTGGTTTATTCTTTCGTTACAGCTAGTGTCAATTATTTGACGAGACGCATTTTATAAAGCAGAATTTATACACGAGAGTATTATAAAATATCTGCCGCCCGATCTTTTCACGCAATGTTTCTTAGGGACCAATTCTTTCCCATTTCTTTGCCAAATATTTATGAAATTCACGTTCGAAGAAGAATTATTTGTAGAAATAACGTTAAACGAAACTCGATTTGCTTGTTTGACAACGAACGTATTTTATATACGTCCTCGTGTAAATTAAACGTTTCATGAATTCTGAATAAGACGCCGACGGATGGAAAGATCCAACGCTTTTTCAATAATTCCACTTTTCAAAAGATCATTCCTATCTTCCCCTTTCGAATTTCTCTCGCGAGGTATTTGCAGACTCGTTCCATTTTCCAATATTGACACATCAGGTGTAGGTTGGAACAAGCAAGAATCACAGGGATGGGTAGCCGAATCAACCGCTTTACACGGACGATTTATATTTGCATTATAATGTACATGGTCGATGAAGGAGGACGTCTTTGACGGCGAGGATAAATTTCGAGACTAACGCGATTAAAATATACGGAGACAATATCGTCCTCCATTTTGAATAATAATTGCGCTTTAGAAATTATTTTCTTGACAGTTTCGTTCTGTGCGGTCTATCGGATACACGAACCAAATGCCAGAAATAATTCTAACGAATAATAAATAACGATCTAGTATAGTCTAGTTGACTCTTTTTTCATCGTACATCTCTCGTTAATCGGATTGATTACGTTTTGTTATAAATAACAACGCCTGAAATATTATATAGCCTGGCATGTACAGGCTTAATATTTTTTTTAACTTGAAATTTAATATTCTTTGGATTCGTGATGAAAAAGATATATGATCCGATTGAAAGAAATAAAGACGACCTTGGAAATTTCGAAACTCACAAAAACTTGATACTTTGCCTCCGTTCAAACTGTACAACTCTTTTATTATATAAACAACTTTTCATTAAACGCATAATTTAAAAGTTATTTCGGACAATGCATGAATCACCTTGTATAAAAATATCTGTGTCTAGACTAGAACGGGGAAGAGTTAAGCTTTTCAAATAATTTTTATCGAAAAAAAAAAAAAAAAAAAAAAAAAAAAAAAAAAAAAAAACC